GTGTGACTGCGGAGCAGGTAGGTGTTAGCATGGAGGTGGGGGTGGATGTCAGCACGAGTGTGTCCCTCTGGGTGAGCAGGGGTTGTGGTGTGTAGGTGTGGGTGTGGACTACATGAGAGTGAATGTGCCGAGCGTGCATGTGTGTGTTTGTGTGTGTCCAGTAAGTGAGTGTCAGTCTGAGTGTGGGCTCTGTGGAGGCATGTGTGTGTGAGAGAGACTGTGTGTGTGTGATGTGTGGGGCAGGTGTGTGCCCCGTGTGTGTGGTGTGTGCATGCCCAGGTGCACTGTGTGTGTTGGGGAGCATGTGCAGCCGAGGGCAGGCTGGGCTGGGAGTGGGAGGCCAGGTGCACCCCTTCCCCACCCTTGGGGAGTATCCCTGGCTCAGCAGAACTGCCAAGGTCACCGGCTCCTGCCCTTATTAATTTGATGAATAAAATTGCACATCAGAGAGGCCATTACGTGCTAATAAGGGGTGACAGCGTGGCAGGGCTGTCCCTGAGAGGCACTGTTCCTCCGCCCCATTTGTGAGAGGGGAGGGCAGGGGCACTGCCCTCAGCAGACCACCTGCCCCTGGACCACCTCTTGGCCAGTGGGTGGGGCCACTCGCACAAGGACATGTACTGGAGGGTCTCTAGATACCCCCCACCCCCACAGGCCAGATGCTCTGTCCAGCCTCCTACCTCTCCCAAGTGCCTGCTGCTCCATAGCCCTCAGTGCCCGCCCCCCTGCCCCAGCAAGCCCACAACCACCCTGGGGGCCAAGACTGGCCAGCTGTGCCCAGGGTGCCACGGACGTACCTTCCACTGTGCTCTCTGGGTTCATGTGGCCCAGCAGGGCCGCGGGGCTCTGTACCTGACGGGCATAGGCCAGGGGAAGGGGCCGAGCCTTCCCTTGCCCCCATGGGCAATAACATCTGACCAACAGGGTGCCCAGGGAGCCCTGGCAGGAAGCGCGTGTTCAAGGATGGTTTCTCCGCTGCCCCCCACGGGCCTTTCCCAGCCTGGCTCCTGGTTCCCGAAACAGTTCTGCCCTTGCTCAGCAGGGGCGGGGTGGGAGGGGGGGGCAGCACCACCCTGGTCACCACCAGGTGCCAGCCACCGGGGATTGGCTCCAAGGGCTCACTCACAGCCCTGGTGCCTCTAGGAGAGCCCAATGCCGCTCCCCACCTGCCAGGCTGGAGCTGGCGGCTTGTGTGGGGGTGCTGTGTGTCCGTTTGGCGGCCTGGCCCAGCGCAGAGGTCGGCTGTGCGCACAGTGCTGCTTTTTGCTTCGCCAACAGAAACCTGGCGGGGCGGCGAGGAGGAGGCAGGCCAGCTCTGTTTAGCTGGGTCAGCAGGAGCTGAGCACGGCTGGGAGTGGGGGGAAGGAGCCCAGGAAGTCGGCGCCTCCAGGACACCACTCCCCGCCCCCTCCCAACCTGAGGCTACCTGGAATCTCCCCAGAGGTGGGGGGGTCCGGGTCACAAGCCTGCTGGAGCACACAAAAAGTCCAGAGATGTGATGATGCTGAATTCACGCGTTTATTCATCAAAGAGGTAACAAACCTTGTAGCTCACATGCTCTACCTTAACCCAAAGCACACACAGTCACGCATCAGGCAATACATCCTAGGTGGAAAGCAACCAGGGGAGAGCAAGAATTGTAGAGTTCTTCTGCCACCAGGAGGGTTTTTATACTTCAAAGCAGACAGCTCTGCTGACGTCAGGGCATCACTAGCCCCTGCTGGTGGTTTTGATCGGTTTTACCAGTGGGCATCTGTACAAACAGCGTGACGAACATCCATCTTAGTGGTGACTTTCAGTGTGGAGTTCCTTAGCTCATGTCCAGCTGGGCAAGCAGGGACTCCCAGGTGCCTGGTGCCGGCCGGCCACACCTGGAAAAGAGACCCAGCCCAGCAGGTGGACACAGACAGCAGGTGGAGGATAGGGAGCCCAGTGTGCAGCGGCGGGCACCCACAGGCCCAGGAATCTGCCTTCCGCACTGGGAGGTTCCACAGGGGCCAAGTGGGGGCCTGAGAGAGGCTGAGCTCGGGGTGCCAAGGGGGTGCTCTGCCATCAGCTTCGGCCTGCAGGGTCTAGAGCAGTGGTTCTAGAGCAGTGGTTCTAGCCTGCAGGCTCTAGAGCAGTGGTTCTCAACCTCCCTAATGCTGCGGCCCTTTAATACAGTTCCTCATCTTGTGGTGACCCCCCCAACCATAAAATTATTTCCATGACTCATAACTGTAATTTTGCTACTGTTATGAATCAGGCGACCCCTGTTAAAGGGGGCTTCAACTCCCAAAGGGGTCACGACCCACAGGTTGAGAATCGCTGCTCTACACAGTGGACCCAAGGATGTGGCCACCCAGAAGCAGCCCTTGTTTGGAAACAGTCTGGGCAGCTGTGTTTCCATGCAGATGAGGCCATCCTGGGATCCGACAGCCCTCACCTCAAGGGCTGGTGCCCTTCGAGCGGACACACAGGCAGGGGAGGCAGAGTAGGGAGCGATGTGTTCACAAGCCAAGGACACCCCAGTGCCCATTGCCACCAGCACTGGAAGAGCCCAGAAAGGCCGCTCCAAGGGCCTGAGCAGCTTAGGACCCCAAACTCTGGCCTCCAGGTGATGAGGGATGAGCGCCTGCTGTCTGAAGC